TATATATAAAGGAACATTTAAAAAAAATTTTTTTAAAGGTTTTTTTAGAGAGAGAGAGGAGTGGGAGGGATGGGACAGAAGGAGGGAGATAATCCCAAGCAGACTCCCCGCTGAGCACAGAGCCCTACGTGGGGCTCGAGCCCACAAAACTGAGATCACAACCTGAGCTGAAACCAAGAGTCAGACGCTTAACCGACTGCACCACTCAGGTGCCCCTAAAAGAACATATTTTATAGAAATAATTGGATTATATATAAAATAAAATACATAAAAAGATTTTCTCATAGCAAAAAAAAAATACTATAAGCAAATCAAAAAGTAAATAACAAAGTTGGGGGAATATTTGCAGTTCACATCACAAAGAAGGGGTTAATCAATGCAAAATACAAATTGCATGTTCGAGTCAGAGACTCACCGAGCCATAGAATGTGGGCCAAGACTGTGGACAGTTCACAGAAAAGGAAACACAAATGTGTATAAACACATGCAGACACTTAGTGTCATTCATGTGAAGGGAAGTATCAGTGACTTGAACATTTTGATAGAAGGTGACATTTTGGTAAAAGGATACGACAGCTACCTAGTTGCCGGAATCATTCTGGGATGCTTACACAGATCACACAGAGTGTGAGGGACAGCTGCTAAGATAGATTTCTGGTCCTGTTGTTTTCATGACGAACCGGCTTTTGGAGAGTTAAAGATGGGCTTTGTGGTTTTTTTGTTTTTGTCCTTTTTTTAACTTATAAAGTAATCTTGAGAATTAAGTGCACGAATGTTTCTAGGGTGCACTGTTGAGGATTCACATTTCAGCGTCAACAGGAGAAGGCAGCCGGCAATGTTTTTCCCCTGCGACGAGAATCTTCTCTCATTACACTGGTCTCTTGGTCCAGCACTGCTCAAAGTTCTATTAGAGAGCACTATTCCAGACAACTTTAGAAAGTATTAGCCAAACATAAGACTCGAACTGAACAGGTATCACATGGATTTTTTTTTTTTAATTAAATACCACTTCATAATATTATTTGCACCTAACACACACATTTTTTGAAAAATAAGACATGCTATATCAGTCATGGAGTTAACAAAATATAAGCATCCACATAGAGTATATTCTAAGGCGAGTTCATTTATGCAGCTTCTCAGAGAAACACACAGTCCATTTTTTTTGCCTAACAACCACTGTTGGGCCAGATTTGGAATTCACGAGAGTGTGGGGTGGAGGGTCTCTAACACTACCCTGATGGATGTCTTGTATACACACAGTACCATCAAGCTGGCTGGTTTCCACCAGAAAATCAGTGGAAACATCGGGCCTCCCTTCCCTACCCAGCAATCAACCCCATGTGACCTGAAGCTTAATGCAATGGCCTCATCAGACCTGCAGCTTCAAGGGGAGGGGTCTGGGGGAGGGGCTGAGCTCTCATCAAAGCCCACAGGCACCAGTCTTTCGATTGGTTCACTGGTTCTAATGTCTGATTAGAGAACCCAGAGTCCCAGTCTTTAGAAGAGGGGGACAGACTGGAGTGGGGAGAGGAAGACCAGGGAACAACGGGAAGTTTAAACCCAAGTTTGGTGACCTTGCTTTAGGTACTGGCTGCTAGGAAGGACAGAGAGGCATGCTACTTAATGTGGCTTGGAGCATTCAAGAGGGCTTGGGGAATGTCAGAGCCAAGAGAAAAAAATAGATGAAAGTTGATTGCCGTCCCCCGCCCCCCCAATCCTAATAGCAAGTGCCACCAGCAAACAGTCCATTTACACGTGGGGACAAAGGGTGGGAGAAGATAGCCCAAGACAGATTCAGAACTCTGGAGCCCAAGGCTCCATATCAGCTGTTCTTCCAGAGTACCCAGGTGCCTACCCCTGGCTTCTACTCAGGAAACTGTCCAGTGCTCTCTGCTCAGACTTCCTGTGGCTCAGCTTCATAGCACAATGCCATCGCCCCCAACCTGAAGGCAGAGGCGGCCCAGGGCCCAGAGGCAGGGGCTGGTGGCACTGAAACCACGACAGCCAGCTGACCTGAAACTATAATGCACTTTTATCCACTCGTCTCATCCTTGCCTGGCTTGAGACTAAAAGGTGCATGACCAAAAAAGGGAAGGTGCAGAGTGAGGTTGGGAGCCCATAAAACCCCAAAATGATCACCTGGGTCTGACACATTGAAACGGCTTCCTTGTTCATCTTCCATTTATCCACTCTGCCCTCATACCTCATCCCCGCCCACCTTAGAAAAATGACTTGGAAAATCTGAATAGTAGCAAAACCAGATTTTAATTCCCCTTTTGTGTTTTGTTCTGGTGGGCCTACCGCCGGACCTTGAAAAGTGACTTTTATTATCCCTTCAGATTCTCTATACTCTGCATAAAGCCCCCTTTCCAATCAGTGTTGATCCTGCCATTCTCTTCCTTAGGAATCATCAATGGCTCCCGCGCTCTCTAAGACACACCTTGAGCTCCTCCAGCAGGCATTCAAGGCCTCTGTGATTTGGTGATTCGGCGTTCGCTGCTTATCTTTCCAGGCTCATTTCTCATCACCCTCTCTACCTCTCCTTTCTTTGCCAACACCTACTCCCTATCTCCGTGTCTTTGCAAATGCTAGCCCCTCTGACTGGGGGTGTGTGTGGTCACCCTACCTTCTATGCTTTGCTCAAATCAGATTTGCCCCCATTGATGGGTGAAGCCCACCCAGATCATCTCCAATTCTTTTTATTTTTTAATTAAAAAACATTTTTATTTTAAGTAAAATCTACACCACACATGCGGCTTGAACTCATGACCCTGAGGTTAAGAGTCCCATGCCCTACCGACTGAGCCAGCCAGGTGCCCCCAAATCATCTTCAATTCTGAATACCCTGTTCTGGGTTAGGGCCTGACCTTTAGCAGGGCTCCCCTAACCGTCCTTTTTCCGTGGCCCATGGTTGCTCTATGCACCTCTCATGGCCCACCCTGCTGTGGTTTCCCGGGTACGTGTCTTCCTCTGCGGGTCTGCAGGGCAGAGACCACTGCTGTTCTTTGTAGCCTTCACCGGCCAAATGCTTATTTATATTTATTTTTTATTTATCTGAGAGAGAGAGAATGAGACAGAGCACATGAGAGGGAGGAGGGTCAGAGGGAGAAGCAGACTCCCCGCCGAGCAGGGAGCCCGATGCGGGACTCGATCCCGGGACTCCAGGATCATGACCTGAGCCGAAGGCAGTCGCTTAACCAACTGAGCCACCCAGGCGCCCATTATATTTATTTTTTAAAAAGATTTTACCCATCATTTGAGAGAGCACGCACACAAGTTGGGGGTGGGGAGCGGCAGAAGGAGAGGGAGAAGCAGACGCCCCCCTGAGCAGGGAGCCTGACATGGGACTGCGCCGAAGGCAGACTCTTAACCAACTGAGCCACCCAGGCGCCCCCATCCAAATGCTTACTAACACACAGCAAATGTGTCACAAATATTGTTGAATGTATCCTGAAGAAAAAAGGTCATTGTCTGCTGCCTTCTTAGGCACGTAAGACACAATACCGAAGTGGTTATCACAAGAACAGATGCCAGTTTTCGAAGTCAAGGTAGTAAATCGGTATTAAGCACAATCCGTAAAGGTTAATGATCTATCGACACTGGTCTATTAACACTGTTATCTTGCCTATTAGATAAAGAGTGCCTAGGGGAACATTAAGCGTAGTTCTAAGCAGGAATCACGGGATGGATAAATGCCACGGATCCTATGGGAATTATTTGACCTGCTACATGAAGCCTAGACAGGAAACAAGTTAGGGTAACTGCAACTTTCCAGCAGGGGTGTGTTGGCCCCTGGAGGTTTTCGCAGCCCAGTTATTAGGCTTTCAAGGTGTGTGATCCTTGGATTGCCTGCATCCGAATGACCTTGCTGCCAGTCAAGAATGTGGACTCTTGCTCCTCCCTGTCATTCCCACAGAGGATCTGTGCTTGGGGTGTAGGAATCTGCATTTTAAACACACTCCCTAGGGGATCCTTATGCTCAAGTTTGCAAACCCTTACTTGCCATTCTCAGAAGTCTATAATCAGTTTTGGGGGAGGACAGTCACGTATGCAGCCTGAACAAAGCAGCAACCTCTTACCAAGAATGCCCACTTTCCCAGACATATGCACATGGGAATGACGACCCGAAGAGTCGAGGTCAACTCGAAGGAAATGAGCCAATAATTCAAGTTTGGTTTGACGGAGGGAGAATGATGGAGGCTGTCTCTGCAGTAAGCACCCCTAAGCTTCCTAGAGGGCACTGGTGTGCAGGAACACACACATGAAACAGCCCAATTTTCTGCCTATCCTTTTATAAGTGGTGCAATCACCTTTTGTAAGATGAAAAGGGATTTTTCTTCCTTTATGGGCTAACGTATCATTACCCCTGCTCCTGTCCTTATTTCCCTCTTACTCTTAACTTCTCAGTTCCTGGGGGGTGGGGGGGGGGCGGAGAAAAGCCATTACATAGTTCACAGAACCAAACCAAATTAGTTTTCAGAGATCTAATATAAACACACCAGACATGTTTTCACTGGAAGGACACAGACAACTGGAAGGCAGAAGTGCCTTTCCCACAGGTGAATGATAGGGTGTTCCCGGGGGTTGGCCTACTATGCCTTGTGATGACAACTCAGATGTTACTGGAAATCTGGAACTATGAGTGAGATGGGGAGGGTCAGGCAAGGGAAGACTAGATTCAGAGGTCTCTAGCCTTTCACTGGATGTGGAAAGTGAGAGCAGAATCTCTGCCTTGCTTCAGCTCCGAGGAATGTGGCAACTGTTGGTCACTGCCGGAGGAAGCTCAGTTGTCATCGTCAGGGATGAGGA